TGTCAGACACGATAATACGAACGATAACGAACATCTATTTGATATCTAAATGTACTAACAGATTAAAGAGGAAGCGGGGATAAGGATCTTCCTTGTCTAAGAACCTTTCTGAGGATTGAATTCCTTAGTTGGAGAGCCGTTTAGCAGAGGATTGAGAAATTCATAGGAGTAGAAAGCACATTCCTTGATCCAGGAATTTCCATTTGGGGCCAAACCCAAAGTTTGATAACATTGAGAAAGGAAAGCCCAATTGACCGAGTCGAAGGCCTTTTCGAAATCCAGCTTAAGCAACAGCCCAGATTCCTGGATTTGAGCCAACTGTCTACAACTTCATTAGCAACCAAAACTCCATCCAAAAATGTTCCTGCCTCCCAGAAAAGCTGATTGTGAGTCACCAATGATCCCAGGCATAACCTTTTTGAGCCTGGAAGCAAGAACTTTAGAGAGAATTTTGTACACAGAACCGACAAGGCTTATGGGCCTAAACTCATTTAAGGTGACAGCTTTATCTTTTTTCGGAATCAGTTGAGATGAATGTACTGTTGAAGCAATTTGGCTAATCTGCCGCTGGTGTGGAAATCCTTCATAAAGTTAAGCACCTCCCCCTTAAGCATCTTCCAAAACTTTTGAAAAAACAGTAGGTTAAAGCCATCCGGCGCCCAGGAGCTTTTGTTTCCATTACAATCAACTACAGCTGCCCAAACTTCTTCTTCCGAGAACTCTACCTCAAGGCAAAGGGAAGTGATCACTGAGCCGTACACATCTTAAAATCTCCAACAAGAACTGGCCTTTGCTTTCCACGCCATCAAGAGTAATGATTAAGAGAAATAGGAGCACACTTCAATTTTAACAAGGTCTGGTGCCTCTATGACTACTTCACCCACGTAATGGAATTGAGAGAATTTCGATTTTGCCTACAAGTAGCCATAACATCATGGAAAAATCTTGTATTTTTATCGCCTTTTCATATTCCAGTCCTGCCTAGATTTTGTAAGCATTCCCATTCTATTTTCTTGCTTAATTCCCACATCTCATGCTTTTTCTCTCTTTGCCTGCTTCAAGTCATCCTCAACCACAAAGGCATAATCTCGGCTTTTCAAGTACAATTGATTGAAGTTCATTTTCAAGAAGATGCAACTTAGATGAGAACATCACCATACACATCTTACTCCATATTTTTAGAGCCAACTTGAGGGCATACAACTTAACGCTGGAGAATAGAAGCCAGCCAGGACCTGAGAACTGTGAGTGACTCCAAGTATGTTCCACAAAGGATGCGAAGTTCAAATGCAACATCCACGCATTTAAGACCTAAATGGTTTGGGCCCCCATCTCTAGTATCCTCCATAAGTACAATAGGACAGTGATCAAAGGAGACCCTAGCAAGACCCCACTGACTGAATTTAAACCTTATCTACCATCAGGCTAAGCAGAAACCTATCAATTCGGCTCCATTTGTGGCCATCAGTTGCATTACACCAGGTGTACTTTCTTGCCTAGCAGAGGAAGATCAAATACCTCACATTTATTCAATAAAATGTTGAAGTCCCTCATACCTCTTATCCCTGAGTGAGACTGCCTACCCTTTCCCCTAAATTTGTGATCTCATTAAAGTCACCACCGATACACCATGGCATAGGGAAATGAGCTTTCAACCATAACAAGAGAGTCCCAAAAATTTCCTTCTCCTTATGATGTCAGTAGGGGCATAGATATTGACAATAGCACAATTAAAGGAGTTGAGAAGCTTACCAGATAGGAGAATGAAGTTCCTGTTGCAACAGCAGTCCGAAAGTTGAAAATAGTCCGGGTCCCACATGCAAAGCAGTCCACAGCACAAAGCCTTCAGCATCCACATGCATAAACTTCAAGCCTGTCTCTTGGCCAAACACCTTTTCACCATCTGATTGGTTCAGACTTGGTTTTTTGTTTCTTGGATCAAAGCCATGTCAATCTTTTTTTTCAAAATAGAAGCTTTTTTGATTTTTCATCCTTTGTCATGCCTTCCGAGCCCTCTTGATGTCCAACTTAATGTCTTCATATGAGAAATAAAATTGACTCTGATAACACCCAGTGATTGTGAATTATTCCACTTTGCCCTTGCCCTCTTTCCAGTCGCTCCTTGTCCCTTTCCTCCATTTGTATTAGTTCTCTAATCACCTCGGATTCTTGGCCCTGGAGTTCTAAACCCAATTTTTGCCCCAATTGCAAAGTGGATTGAGCCTCTTGAAGAGACCACGGTTAGGAGACTGTAGTAAATTCGGGCTAAGAGTTGAAGCAGGTAAAGCTGCGTTGTGGATCCAGATTTGAAGCTATTGACAAGTCCCTTATTTGAGTTTGCACCCGATTGCACTAGTCTTCCTAGTAAAGCCACGAGAATTTTCCCAGCTAGCAAACAGTGCTTGAGCCCTTCTCTTTTACTCCATTTCCTCTTACCTTTCTTCAAACGTTGGGTGTTAGAGCTAGAAAAATTTGGGCTGGAGTTAGCACCATTCTTTGACTGTGAGACGTCCCAAGATGTTGCACAAATAGGCCCAATTAATGGGGTCTTAACACCAGAGTTAGAGGGCCTAATAGGCTGTGGTCCAAAAGCATTGTGGCCCAATGACAATCTCCAGCTTGATGCCCGGCCCATCAGTGAGAGATTGGCTAAGGCTTTTCAGAAAGCCTGAGGAACGATGGGCCCATGCACAGTCCCCCTACGGGCTGTTGCGTGTTGCACACATGTTGTAGCTTCAACGCCGTTCTGAATGGTAATGATTACACTGCCCCTGTTGCGTGTTACACTGCCCCAGATGTTGACTTGCCGTAGGGTAATAATGAGTCCACCTCATCCGCTCCATCCCTAGTCTCCTCCACTGCTGACACACGCATTGCACTTAAGACTTCTGCCCTCCACAGCGACGGCCTGTCAGCGTCGTCCCGAGGTTAGGTGTAAGGGGGAGTCCCCCATTGATGATAGAGCAAGCTTCTTTGGTTGTGCCATTAGAGTCAAAGCCGCTAGATGACTACTAGCCCATCCCCTGACTAAGAAAATCGGAAAACTCCTCCAAGACTCTGGATAGATAGAATTACTACTCTCTCTACGAACGCCAAAATTGCTAGATCACTGGTATTAGGATGGGGGTTCATGACTATTGCAACTATCTTAACCCGGCCGCAACGCGAAGGATTCGGGGTCGTGACAAACATATCCCCATTGAGAAGAAACTACTCACCTCTCCCCAAAGTTGCCCAATTCTTACGAAAAGTATTATGAGTTCCATAGGTTTAGGGGCCACCCACGCTCAAGTAGCAAAGTGATCCAAACACACATTTCCTGTTGTATGTACATTCCGGTTCGCCACTCTGTGATATATTCACACCATTCAGAGAACCAAGCTTTTAAGCAACATACTTTTACTTGCCAGTTCTTCCTTGGAGTTTGAAGGAGATGATAACATCACGCCCTCCTCCGTGCCCGAACTATAAATATCCTTCGCCTCTTTGTGGCTTGAGTTCCTTCCTTACCTGCCATAGCAGAGTAGGGTGTTTTTGAGCCTCTAATCATGCTTTCATAGAGCCATCCCATTCCCGCGTTTCCTGCGACTTGATATGGTTGACACTGAGTGGTTGCTGGGTTCAACTCCCTTAGTGACCTCAGCAAATGATCTGCCATCAATGCGTTGTTTCCAGATCTGATTTAGTGGCTACAAACTGCCCTTCAAAGGTTCACAAGATCCTGGTGGTTGGATTATTCTTTCGAAGACTTAGGCACTCTCCTTTATTATATTCCGCAACTTTCACTAATAAAGATTTGTCATCAACCCACAAACCATTGGCCTTCTGCTCAGCTACATCAGCTGCGATGGAACAATCGTTAGCGCAGAACCTCAATCTATGTTAGTTGCTTTTCTTCTCTTTTGTGGAATGTAAACGTCCTTCACCACTCCAAACTTATGAACAGATCATGGAGTTTTCCTAGCACATTGATTCAGGCAAGTTATCCACAAATAGTGTATACAGAGAGGTTCTGTGGTCGGTAAACCGTGAGTTGGAGCGCAACTGCCTAGCTCTTTTGTTTGATCACCGGTATCCAGCCTCCCCGAGCTCCGTCTCTCCTCTCCATTGTTTTCAAGTCAAGATGACTCTTTGTGAGTGTACACAGTCCAGGCTGCTCGAACCTTCTCCTCTCTCTCCTATATATATATATATATATACACACACACACACATATTCTTGATTTTGACATGACTTATGAGCTGCCATATATCACATACTCACCATAATACTTCAATGTATTTGGATATGGAATTTTAGGGAAATTCATAAAGACAAGGAAAATTTTGTGCGTATAAGTTAAATCTTTGATCCAATATTATCAAGAGTAATGACATAAAATAACTCAAATTTCATAGCAGATCCTTAGTAACTAATTAATAATGCAACACCACCAAAGTGACCCAGCTTCCAGTATATCATAGAATTGACAACTCAAATTACCAAATCTTCCTACTGAAGAACTCAAGAGGTCTGAACTTCCACAATAGCAAGAAAAACAATAACCCGACCCACTAAATATAAGAAATTACAATAAAAATATATGAAAAAATGGATACGCAAGAGTAATAATAAAGGTACCAATTGTACCTCTCCACAATCATCTAGAACAAACACTTGCCTATGCTCAAAAGGGGACATTGTTCCCGGCATGCAGTGTTGCAAGTAAGGATGCTGATAAGGATCTGAATGAAAGAGCAAATTGTGAGTAAGCAATAACTACTTGTTGTTTTCTCAAATTGGGTTTTGTAATTAAACAAAAATGGAAGCACTAGTAAAAAGACAGAACATCGTGAACATTTCACAAGGGTGGTTGAAACAAAAGTAGGCTTCTTTCAAAGACATTACCAACAAGAAGAAAACCTAAATTACCCAGCTAAGTTCTGTACATAACTCAAAGTAACAATAGTGTAAAAGAGCTAATTTTTTTTTCAAAAAAACCACATTCAAGGAGTAAAAAGACTAAACTGAACAATCTTAATAGAAGTAACATGAAGCCCACAAGCCTTGAGAATGACACCAAAGCTACTGGCAGTCACACCTTTCCCAAGACCGCTAACTACGCCGCCTGTCACCAACACATACTTGATTTTTCTCTCTTTTTAGATGCAGAAGATGAAGATGAAGATGATAAAGAGGATGATGATGATCTGATAAACCCAACTCAAATGAAGCCCCTTTTTTCCCGCTGATGATTGATTGAACACCTATGCATTTTTTTACCAAAGATTTATAATGTTAAACTGAACAATCTAGCATTGGGCATTTCGACATAAACAGAGTGGGGAAAAAAAAAGAAAGAAAACAAAGAGTAGGAAGACTAACTTGTTCTTCTTTGTCGAAATCGTGGTTTTATCAGCTGAAAAAGCAAAGTGCAAAATCAGATTTCAGAAAAAATTGAAAGAGGAATGAGAATCAGATAAGAACAGTGGTGTGGGAATTTCAAAGAAAAATGAAGTGCTATGTTTATGACAATGGTTCCGTTTCTTACCGAATCCCAGCATTCTTCGCCGCCATCGAATCTGACTCAGATCTTAGAAAGAGGTGTTGATTGGAGCAGAAATCACTGACATCTGAGTGCTTAAGAGATTTTTAGATCGCGAAATCGAATTCTGATTCAGATCTCAACCGTTAGGCATGGTCTCTCCGTCTTCACTGCCGCCGATAGATATGTGTGGATCGCTCACGACGGTCAAATCTTGGCCTGGGACTCAAATCTAATTCAGATCTCGACGATCTTCTCAGATCCGGCGGAGGCACAAGCGGAGAAGGAGGAGGATCATCGATGGCGGTGGGTGTTTAGGAGAGAGAGAGAGAGAGAGAGAGAGAGAGAGGCACCAGCGGAGGACGGAGGAAGATCATCGACGACAGTGGCGATCTGTGGCCGTGGCGATCTGCGCCGGTGGCGGTGGTCTGCGGTGAGGTCAAGTTGGGTGAGGTTTGGTGGTGAAGGAGAATGTGTGAGAGGTTTGAACAAATTGTTGGGTGCAAATAGAGAACAGGTTTGAACAAAGTATTGAGTGATTTCCCTCTAAAACCATTTCACCTTTAGCGACTAAATTCATTTTTTGTCGCAAAATCTTTATATGTAACGACTAAATTTTTTGGTAGCCAAATCTCAATCAACAGCGACTACAATATTAGTCGCCAAAAGTACTAATTTGGCAACAAATTTTTTTTTATCGGAAAAAATGAATATACGACGACTAATTTTTTTTTGGTCGCTAAAACTTAACATTTTCCAACAAAATTATTTGGTTGCCAACAAGTAACCATAAAAATATCACCGTTATTTAGCAACTAAATTTGGTCAGCCATTGTCTGTTAGTACATTTAGATATCAAAATGATGTCGTTTTGATATCTACAACTAAATTATATTAGTCACTAAAAGATTATTCTCTCCCACCTAGTTTTTCACCCCTCGCCTATATTTTTGGCGACTAATATTTTAAATTGGTTGCAAGAAATCACTTTTGTGCAACAAAATTACTATAGTTTTTCACCCTCACTCTCCAGCCTAATTATTTTTGTTTTTGTTTTGTGGTCATATACAAAATGTATTCATTTTTTCTTAACATTTTCTTTGGCTAAAGATTTATTATATTATTCACAATAAGTAGTTGTTTGATACTTTAGGAGCACCATGTGATATTGTTTATGTAGTAGTCTAAACTAATAGTGTAGTTGAAAATCTTATGGATTGAATATAAGTAACTCATTATTTTTAGGTAGTTGACAAACTACTTAGTGTGATTTGTGATTTCTCATTTTTTTTTGAGCATCAAATAGGTAACGCTATATGGCACTATAAGACTATGTAATAATTTCAATTCAAAACACATCATTTATAAGCAATATCATCTCTTTAATATTTTATGTCAAATAAAAATTAAATAGATTTTATAATAATTTGTGCTATAAATGATGTGTTTTTATTTTCTAAAATTAGAAATTTTGATCCATAATTTTTTCCGCAGCTAAAATTAGAAACTTACATCACCATCCCGCACTGAGCTATTACACACTATTATAGAATTTTTATTTGTTCCTATTAATCATGACTTTTAATTTCTTATTCTTAAATTTAGCTCATAAAATTATTATTATCTTAATGTTGATCATGATTTGTTTTTTAAAAATAAAAAATTGTAATGAATAAGTGCCCCCTCTAACTTAATTTCCTAGTTCCGCCACTGGCCGCCGCAACATCAAGCCCGCCTCCAATGGAAGTGAACAGAACCGGGAAGCCAGCAGTGAAGGCTCCACCAGCTCCAATCCCCAGCCCAAGAAGATCAATTGTGGTCGGCTTGTTTCGAGGGGTGTGGTAGAGAGAAGGTTGAGAGAGATCAGGAATTGAGATGAGGACTCAAATCTGATTCAAATCTCGACGATCTTCTCGGATCTGGCGGAGGCACCAGTGGAGGAGAAAGAGGATGAGCCAAGGTGGTGCGGTGGATGTTTAGGAGAGAGAGAGAGAGAGAGTGAGAGAGGCACCAACGATGAGGTGGGGGTGAAGGAAAATCTGTGTGAGAGAGAGAACAATCTGATTTGTTTAAACAGAGAACAGGTGGGGACAATATTAAATGGTTTCCCTCTAAAATTTTCACACCTTTGGCGACAAAATTAGTTTTGGGTCGGCATTGGCGACTAAAATTTTGTTGTAGCCAAAGCTTAATTAACGGCCACTAAAATATTAGTCGCCAAAAGTATTAATTTGGTGACTAACTTTTTTTTGGTCAGAAAAAATAAATATACAGCGATTAATTTTGTTTTTGGTCGCTGAAAATAAGTTTTTGAAGGCCAAAATTTTGGTCGCCAAAGATAAAAAATAATTTTTTATTTTTCATTTGGCGACTAAATAGTTTTAATAGCCAAAACTCAGTATACGGCGACTAAAATATTTTTAGTTGCTAAAAACAAGTTTTTGACGACCAAAATTTTCGTCGTCAAAAGATAAAAAATAATGTTTTATTTTCCATTCGGCGACTAAATTGTTTTAGGAGCCAAAACTCAATATACGGTGACTAAATATTTTTTTGTCACTAAAAATAAGTTTTTGGCGACCAAACTTTTGGTCGTCAGTTCCACAACCAACTTATTTTGTTTTTCCGCAACCAACTTAATTTTTGGTCGCCAAAAGGTGACCTTCCGCGACCAAATTTGTAGTTGGTTGCTAAAAGCATACCCCTTTCTGCGACCAACTTTAATTTAGGTCACCAAAATATGACCAACTTTAATTTAGGTCGCCAAAATATGACCTTCTGTGACCAACTCATATTTGGTCGCCACAAACAATGATCATTCGCAACTAACCCATATATTTTGTAGCCAAAATGTAACTTTTAGCAACCAACTATTGGTCGCGGAAAGCAGTCGCCAGATTCTTGTAGTGTTTGTGATTAATTAATTCATTCATTTATTCATATGTTAGAGCTCTTCACATGTGCAGCATCTATACTAATAGGAGCCACAGCCCTTCAAGGATGGATTGCTTTATGTCCTTTTTTATTTTTATTTATTTTTATTTTATCCTTCAGTTTGTTTTAAATTTGTTTACTGCTAGTAATTGGATTTATTGATCAATTCACTTCTTCATGTAGCCACCTTCACCATGATGTAAGGTTTAATGATTACATTTGAGGGAAATTACTTTCTTAACCCTTTTATTTTGAAAATATTACAACTCTAATTTTGTTGTGTTATTGTAATTTTTTAACTTTTGGAGGGTGTTTATAAAATTTGCGTACCTGTAGTTTTAGAGAATGTAAAATTTCTTTTTGCTTTCTACCTTACGAGACCAACAATATTACAAACTTATTTTTATCAATTCAAAATTTATTTAGGAAAAAAAATCAATAGTTCAAATTCATTTTACTCATAAACTCCACACTTCATCAATTTAATTTCTACCACTTAACCCATTCGGGATAAATTATAATTCCTAAAGATGGTTTGATAGCATTTTTCTTATCGGATAGGTGGTTGTCGTTTTGTAAAATATCAATAATCAAAAATACAGTTTGGATTTGTCCCAAGATACAATCTAAATTTGAGGGATTAGTGGGATACATTATGGCCCCGTTTGTTTCCAGAGATGGAATGGAGGGGATTGATAGTGAGGGGATTAATAGTAAGGGGATTGTTAATGAGGGTCGTTTGTTTTCAGAGATAGAATGGAGGGGATTGATAGTGAGGGGATTAATAGTAAGGGGATTGTTAATGAGGGTCGTTTGTTTTCAGAGATAGAATGGAGGGGATAAATTTGAGGGATTAGTGGGGTACTATTTTGATAATTTAAATAGTTCATTTTATAGGCATCAGTACATCATTGATAAAAAAAAAATTAGGTCGATCAAATAATTATAGTATTTTTTTTTTTTTTTCTCTTTTGTCTCTAACTAAGACACAAGACATCCCGAAAGGTAGCCATGTCTTGCTAAGCCGCCCTGGACTTGGCCGAAACCCTAGAATTTGGAATGAGTCACTCAAGTTCAAACCAGAGCGCCACCTCAAGGACGATGGCTCGGAAGTATTGATCACTGACAGTAACACCAAGGTATTAGTAATACCCTCACTATCTCTCAAAACAAACAAGGTATTAGTAATACCAAGGTATTAGTTAGTCCCAAGGTATTAATAGTCCCAAGGCTATCTCTCAAAACAAACACCCCATATACTAATCCCAAGGTACTAGTAATCCTAATCCCCTTGCTATAACCCAAAACAAACGGGGCCTATAGGTACTATTTTGATAATTTAAATAATTCATTTTATAGGCATCAGTACATCATTGATAAAAAAATTAGGTCGATCAAATAATTATAGTATTTTTTTTTTTTTCTCTTTTGTCTCTAACTAAGACACAAGACATGCATGTGAATTCTACCACTCAACGTTATCCTACGTAATATTGTATCTAATTGGTGTGTTAATGGGTATACTAATTACTATTAAGCGTAAATTATCAATAGGTTATAATAGTTGGACTTAATTTCCATAAAATCCTATTGAACATAAGTTAAAGTAAAATCATCACTAAAATTAATTTTTTGTGACGATTTTTTGCATATCACTAAAAATTTACAATTAGTAACTTTTTTTTGGTCACAATTTTTATAAATTGTCGTCAAAAACTTTCAATTAGTAACATTTTTTTAAAATGAATTTTTCAAATTGTTGCTGAAGTTAAAAACTATTGACATTTTTTTTGTGACAAGTTAAAACTTATGACCAGTAACATTTTTTGTGACAATTTTTAAACTCTCGTTGAAAATTAACAATTAATGACTTTTTTTAATAATATTTAATAAAAAAATACTAATAATTATCATAGGACCTATTAGACAATAAACCACTTATTACGACCTGCACGTAAGTCTTCCTAGTGTTTAGAGCATTACTATTTTAAAATATATTTTTTTTAAGACAACCACAATTAAAATGAAGGGAAAATTAAATATACCCCCTCGAGATTTAGCTAAATTACAGATACCTCCTGAGGTTTGAGAAATTACAAATTCCCCCTGAAGGTTATATTTGCATAACAAATTATGGGACAATTTGTTATGAAAATATAAACTTCAGGAGGCGGGATGTAATTTTTGAAATCTCAAGGGGATATCTGTAATTTAGCTAAACCTCAAGGAAGGTATATGTAATTTGCCCTAAAATAAAATAAAAATTACGATTATTTGATCAGCATAATTATTTTTTCATTGATGCTATATATGGAGAGTCTTAAAAATGAACGATTAAATCATTAAAATGGAACTTGTAAT